CTGCACCGATATGGGGATTCCCCCTTCAGAAGGGAACATTCGATTAGATGCTTCTCAAGATTGGGGTCCCCTTAACATGCCTAATTTCAATGAAATGCGGCAGACTCGCGAGTAAACGGAGGCTAGGCACGGCGACATGCATGAGGTTGGCTTCAGAAGAAGAAAAAAAAAGAAGCCACGACTGGTCTCCTCGACTTCTACCAAAGTTTTATCGTAGAATGCCACCTAAAAGTCCGGAACTGCCATGTAGCTTGCAACCTGCGAGGCGATCTGGCCGACGAGTCTTGAAGCGACCATTTGGAGTTTCCGTCACATGAGTCATAATCAAAACCCGGTTTCAAAATGGTCCACCCAGGACCATGTAAAGAATCAAGAAGGCGGATATCCGCAGCTATTTATGGTTGGGAGTATCCCTGACTAACCTTCATCTACCCGGGTTTTCATTGTGGCTCACATGGGAAAGCAACCAGGTAACGCCAACTTCGGATACATAAATCCAGAGATTGAGAGGTGTTTTCCTTGCCAAGGATGGCAGAGAGGCCACATGAGTGGCTTGGGCATGCTTGGGTTAGGATCATTCCCCAATGTAGGGGGACTGATTCAAATCAGTCTCCAGCTATGGCCAGAAGGCCCGAGGGATTGATTCATATCAGTCTTCAGATATGGCCTAGGGCTTGCTTAAAGCACCTAACCTTTGTGGCAACTGGACTGTTACAGAGGTTTTGCATGTACCTCACTTGGATTCACAAACATGGCTCGCACCCTCCAACAAACCCCCTCTGACATTCATGAGAGGGCTTGGGTCCTTTTGGTAAAAAAACATATGAAACACATGATGGCACTGGCAAACAAAAACCAAAGCAATCTGCAACCAGTGGATCCCATATCATTTTTGTTCACCAACATGACCTCAAAGCTAGGCTGGAATTAGGACCCCAGCAAAAAATATCCTTCTTGCCTGGTTAGTGGAAAACAAAGGGAACCCCAAAAAAGCAAAAAAGCAAAAAGGGGAGCTAATTCTGGGGAAGAAAGGGGCCAGTCCTCCAAACAAACAGTTGAGGCCCTGGACAGACGCTGCGCCGCCCCTTCTTTTTGGGATGTCCATCGGCGAGCCAAGTGCCATGCGAGAGATGGACTTTCGGACTTCGGCGACCCGCGCATGGCATGCCGCTGTTTGCATTTCGTTGGTGGACAAGCGAGCTCTTTACTTGATTGCTGTTGACCCCCCTGCAAAGAGTCGAACTTTTTGGGGGTTTGGTGGAAAGCCCAACTTGATTTCAACCAAAAAGTTAAAGTCTAAAGATCCAACCCAATGGCATTCACGTTTAAGCAGTTCGCCCCCAACATCTCCGATCGCTGTAGAGAAATGGGTGCGTCCTGGTTCAGGCCCGTGCCCCAAAGAGGAACATGTTGCGGATTTCCTTGACGTGTCCCGTCAAACCGCCCAAAACTTGGGCATCCCAAAAAATGACAAAAACTCACATGGCCTTTCCCGCAGGAAAAGCCATAGGACACCGTCCAAGTCACCAGGTTTGTGTGACGGCTTGCTCCGCAAGCCTGGTGCTGTCCCCTTCCAGGGGAAGGTTGGAATTTTCAGAAGCGTGTCAACCAAGGGATCCGGATCCTGGAACAGGGTGGATGTTGAGCTCCGAGAAAAATCCCGGGAGTTCTCTTTCCTTTATGGAGGTCACAAACGCCGGTAAAACTCCTGGGCCCCGAAGTTGTTCGGGGCTGAAACTTCAAAATGCGTCAAGTTGCCCAAATTAGCGTCGGAACATGAACCATTTAGTCATATAGGTCTTTACTCGCCAGGTCAAGGGGAACTGGGCATATTGCAATACTGTGGATGGACGAAGTCCGCTTCTCGCACCCCCCCGAACTCAGAAACACTGGTTCATGATTCGATGGTGCAGCGTAAATACCAACAATGGTTCTCAGCAAGGAATCGCCCTTTGTGCTAGCCTCATATCTGCGGGTTTTTTCTGCCATGAGCAGGTCGCCATAGAACCCCCCCCACTGAGCCATAGATCCTTGGGGGACAGCCAGCCCGGGGGGGGCTTGGGTTTCCAGGCGATGTTCGGCCCTTTAAGGGTCGCCAAGGAAGCTCCTCCCAGGTGCTCGGCCGGAAAATGACCAGAGACGTGCAGGAAACGGCTAGAGGAAGACTTCAAGAGCGGTATATATGGTACGTGGGAAAGCGAACAGCGGGAGAAATTGCCAAAGCAGGATAGTAAAGGAATACATGGGGTGGGAAAAAAGCACCCATATATCCTTGAGTCTGCCATGTCCCTGCTGACTGGCTCTTCGGAACATTCTCATTGTTCACACGCCATAAATCAGCCCACTTCATAATGAGCAACCGGAAGTCTGTCGGAGTCACTTATCCAAAGGGGTATTAAGGAGATGAACCACTCCTAGAAAGACGGGAGGGGTCCAACCAACTCAGCTAGGAAAGAAAGTATAAGCTCACGGTTTCTCACATGATCCTCGCCAAGAACATGGTCCGGAAAGCTTAAGCCACTACGAGCTCGTGTTCCAGGAACCCTCTTGGTGCTGTTTTTGCTCAATCAACATGTTGGATGCAACGAGCTCGTGTTCCAAGATACAAAGAAAAGCAAAAACCGGCGAGGCCACTCCAAAGTGCGGTCCGCAAACTCTCTTCGGAACCGGGAAAAAAAACAAAAAAAACATCACATCGGCTCCCTGAACCACCCCGAACTCGGATCCCTGTTTCAGGCTCATAAGCGGGCTGTCCGTTTTCAGATGCCCTGCTCAAAGTGAATATATTTTTAGTGGGTTGAACGGACACCCAACCACTAAACCCCAAAAGTCTGCAAGCCGAAGGGCACAACTGGGAACCGCCAAGATAAGATCCCCGGATTTTCGTAAACCAAAGCACACGCCAAGAGCAGCAAAGCAAACAAAGGGCCAGAAGCGGAAAGCAACCCAGTTTGAGGGAGCTCCTCAAGTCCCAAGGCAAGAAATGACTTCTCTGCCTCGAATTCCTGAGCAGGCAGTTGAATTGGTTGGTTGACCCCGTTTGAAGTGCTCCCCCGCTCATCCACATCCCTTGAAGGTTCACAATAGTCTAGGGGTACCTTGCCCATTCTTTCTACAGAACCTTCAAAAACCAAAGAAAACAGCTGGTTTTTGACAAGAACGATGGTTGAAAAGAAAGTAGAAGGAATCACCTCCTAGAATCAGGCTCCGAACGAGCTTATGAACTGCCCGAGTATCAGGGAAATTGGCCCTGTGTGGGAGTCCATGCTGAACCTATCTGAACGCTTGGAATATGAACTTCACGCGCTATTGACTTTGGAACGAGGCAAGAATTGGGAACATCACCGCGATGCTTTTCAGCAAAGAATCTGCGACGTCTGTGGTCATTCTTGGCAGTCTAAAACAATCCTCTGGCTTCATCTGAGTCTGCACTGCCGACAGATGAGCGAGTCTACGCCGAATCGAGCTGCGGCAGCTTCGACAATTGGCCGAACTGGTCGGATAGTCTTAAACAAAATGTCTTTTCCTTCCTTTTCAACATGGTTCTTCTCAAAAACCAGCCGTTTGCCTTTGGTTATTGAAGGTTATCTAGAAAGAAGGATTCCTGGAAAGAATGGGGAAGGATAACTTTGCCAAAACAGGTGGCCTCAATGCAACAACTGGTTGGCTTCAAGTTGGGCGCTTCTCTGCAAAAGCCAGCCCTTGAAATTGGTTGATCCTTGAGTTTGCCTTTCAGAACCCCGGCTTGGTCAAACCAATTGGGTGCGTCCTGATTTTAAAACAAACCCCCCACAATGGTGGGTTTCCTTTTGGTTTCCTTTTCGAGGTCCTCCAGTAGAGAGGTTAGAATAAGGGTACCCTTTTTTCTGTGGTCTATTTTCGTAGGGGAACCTTCCCCCAAAAAAGGGGAGAAGGGCACTCCTGGGGGACCTAGGTTTCCTTTTGGTTTCCTTTTGGTTTCTACGTAATGTGTTCGCAGAAGACATGCCCGACATATGTCCGGAGAGACACCTTACTCTCACAAAACGAAGAAGACGAAGAAGAAGAGGAAGAAGAACAATAATAATATGATGATGAGGATGATGATGATGATGATGATGATGATGATGATGATGATGATGATGATGATGATGAGCAACACCCACCAATCTGACTTGACATTGAGCCAAAGCTCATTATGTGCAGTCACGGTCGTCTGAATCCGATGAACATCCCTAACCAAGTAAAAATGTGTTCTAAGCATTAAATATGGCACATACTGTGGATGGACGAAATCCTCTTAGGCACCACCGAAGAAACTCTCGAATGATGACTCCCTGTAAGTACCAACAAACACTGGCTTCAATCATTGCTTCGCTCGTGGTGCGAAAGGATTTCATCCATCCACAGTATCACAAGTAAGGTGACTGATGGGAACAACTTGTCCTTTGCTCTCGTCTGTTTCCATTGAGGGATGATTTTTTTGAGATCTGGGCATCACACAGTAGGCCGTCCTGTTTGAGGCAACTTCAGAAGCATGAGCTGCGCCAAGTAGCGCCGTTTTGAGTTATCTGGGCCACAGTAGCAACGCGAACCCTGTACCCATACACGTGCCTGTGTCGTTCAGGTCCAATGCACACAACTCATAGTGGGTGTGTCCTTCCGACTGATGCAAGGCCCGAGGCTGTGTGAAGCACGGGCATTTTATCGACACCGGCTCTCAAACATGAGCCAAATTTCTGTAGGTTCTCAAATGGGTTCGAGAACTGGACAAGAAGCTGTCCGAATGTGTGTGTGTGTGTGTGTGTTGTTCAAGCCGTGGTCAATCCTAATCGGTTCCTTTGTAACTCAAGGGCAGCATTCGCCTTTCTTCGATTCCTCGCAGAGGTAAAATCTTCGTTGCTCGAGGAATAATCCTGTTCAACCTGTTCCAACAAATCTTCAAACAACCTCAGCGTTTCACTAAAAAACCTAATGTAGCAAACCTTACAGTGCAGAATCCATTCAAAAGAGAGATCCCAGCCAACAACAAGAACCGGCACGCCAACAAATCCCGGATCTTGCCGACGGTCTGCCGCGCCTCGATTCGAATCGATACAAAACCTCACCGGTCTGCAACGAAGCTGTCCAAGTTTCGCATGTTTCCCTCTTCGAGATCCGCAGGTTCCGCTTCTCCTGGGCTCCGAAAGTCTTAGTAAGTGGATCGGGAATAAGGACACAGGGGTGGCAAGCTTTTCATCCAGGGGCCCCTGTTGTTGACCCGGGGGGAGGGGGGGAGCCTGTACTAAACGTACCCTGCGAATCAAAAGAAACAAAGAACAAAACTGATTTTCATGGTTTGGCTTTTTGGCTTGGAGGCTCAAGGTTCGTCCCCAGATTTAAGAAACCGCCAGAAATGAATGTCCACCTAGAACTTGCCAAATGGATCGGGAAGAAAGAGCAACATATTCATCTTGACCTCGGGGGAGGGGGGGGGGCTGTACTAATCCCAGGTGGTCCCTCAGGGCGGTCCATGACGAGACTCGTCAGGTGAAATATCAAGCCCAGTGCTACCTCTGACTGCAAAACAACAGCCAAGCAAGGCAACACCTGGATTTGGGCAATCCCTAAGGGCGGTGGTCCAAAGGGCGGGGGGCTCCCTAAGCAACCCCAGCAACCCTAAGGCACCCTGCCAAAAGTGGAAAACTCGTTGGTTAAATGGACACCCAACGACTAAGCCAACTGAAAACCAAGTAAAACCTAAGGAACCGGATGGCCAGGAACCACCAAGCAAAGGGCGCTCGTAGACAAATATTTTTGGCGGGACGGACAAACATTTGTTTCATAGTCCTTCAACATTGACGTGTTAATGCTTTCGGAGGAGGCCAGAATGTGTTGGATTAGGTGAGTTCATCGCGACGATATGTTTACCTATGGTCATGGATACTGGTTAAACCAACAGGTGCTGTCAACGACATATGAGCAACGGCCAAAGTCATTGTTTCCTTAAGAGCATGGAACAATTAGTGAATCCCCCCCCAGTTGTTTGTGGCAAATGTAGTGAGTCCACCTTGTCTCCCCCCAAATCTTTTGGTTGTCCAAGGCCTATTAGGGGCTAATAGGGTTCCTTTTCTGGGGGGGTCCCCTCTTTGGGGGGGGCCCTGACAACCCTGGGACCAAAACGACTAACACTACCACAAGTGTTGACCGTTGCTCGTATTGGAGGACGTGACCTGACCTGACGTCTCGGGGCTTGCCGGGTTTCTATGACAAATGCCCCTTTGCACATACCAACACTGAAAAGGACACCAACCCATCCAAAAAAAACAAGAAACAAGGATGTTCTACCAAAAAGTCGGGAAACCTAACACACAAAAGCAAGCTTCGAATTCCTTTTGGCTTTCCCGCCCAGAGCTATCCAAAACTCGGGGTTTTCCAGTGCTCGGACACGCTCCGAGCGAATGGAAGTCAAGGCGCGAAGGAACTCCTGGAGGGAGCCTCGCTTGAAGCTTCCTTGGCTCTCGCGGACTTCCAGCGCTAAAGCCATGGAACTTGCTGGCGAGAGAGTTTCTTGCAAAAAGAGCTTCGCTTTTGGTGGGTTTAGTGGAAACCCCCCCCTTGATTTCAGAACAAGTCAAAGTCTAAAGATCCAACCCAATAGCAATCGAACTTCAAGTTTATGAACACGATACGTCAGGTCAGGGTCGTTGTGATTCCCGGCAAGCTAATAGATTAACTTTTAGTTGAATGGAGACCCCCACTAAACCCTAAAAACGAAAGCTCAAGGGGATGGCTGGGAACCACCGACAATAAAGATATGTTGTAAGGTTGGTGAACTTCCACAGCCCAATGACACAATTTGGCCGCAGTAAACCTGCTCGGCTTTTCCCTATTTCCACACTCCCTATGTTCAATGTACTTGGAATCAACTGGGCCGCAAACAATCAAGTCTCACCTTACCCTGCCTTTCTAAAACCCATGTCCAAGTCCCCCCTGCTCAAAACCACGTTCCAAGTCCAAGTGGGCAGGGAAGCACCCCCCCGTGAGGGAAATTCCGTACCGGGCGTCCGCCCAAGTCCAGCGCTGTGTCGGATACGACTAGCTCGGTGCTGGGCCTGTCGCTCAGTCTCAAGTGAATCAAAACCGATCGTTACCTCAGTTGTGCAGTGATTGTGGGAAAAAAAGGGAACCCTTTTTGGGGAAGCCAATTTTTAGTGGGGCAGCCACAAACAAAAAGGGAAAAAGGGTGCCACTGAACAACTGAGGCACAAACTCAGATGCCCAGTCGATTTGCATGGGAAGAAGGGCATCCGATTTTCTGTTGAGTTGAAAGGGGAACCCTTTTCCCCCTGAAAAAAAAGGGCGCCACTGGGCAAGTGGGCAAACATGGTGAACCAAAACCAGTTCCCAATGCTCGGTTGCTTTCTGCTCCCCTGCTAAAAGTTTAACTTTTAGTGGTTTAGTAGAAAACCCATTAGTTGGCAAAAAGTTAAAGTCCTAACAGCCAAGCAACATGCACCAAAGAATGATCTCCGATCCGCACTTTTTTTTTTGGGGGGAGTGTCCCTAAGCTTCATCCACACCCGGGTTTTGAGCAAGTGGCAAAGACCAATGTTGCAGACCAACAATGCTGGGGGCACTGCTGATTTCCCTAAAGAAAAAAATACCCTCGAAAAAAGACACCCATGAGGGTTGTCAAAAGGAGACCCGATGCTTTCTCTGTTTTTCGACTGCCTGCTTGCTGGGCCCAATGAAAATCTTTCCCGCTTTTGCACTCATAGGTCTATGTTGGGCCGGCGTTCTATGCATGCCAAAACCTGAAAGAGGGGATACCTGAGTGCAGGACCCACATCATTGCGAACTCACCATAAACTAGGCAGCTCTATTGATCTCACCACAACACATAAAACCAATGTTGAAAACAATATGCCGCAGTTCATGTGGAGAGTTGTCAAAATCACACTGAATGGCAATGCGATTCCACTTGCAGAAATAGATCTCATGGCAGGAAAACATGCCAATGCCATGGCCACCCATAGGTCTCAAGGTGGTGCTTTTCTCTCTCACTCTCTGTGTGTGTGTGGTGTGTGTGTGTGTGTGTCTGTGTGTCTGTGTGTCTGTGTGTCTGTGTGTCTGTGTGTCTGTGTGTCTGTGTGTCTGTGTGTCGGCGAGGTGCGTTTGGGGGGCCAAGAAAGTGTGTATGTGTGTGTGTGTGTGATGGGGAGTTGTTGAAATCCGGGTTAAAAATTTGCAACGCACCAAATTACACCGGTTCCCCCCAAAAGCAACAGGAACACAGGCTAGGGTTGTGTCAATCTCGGATTGGAGATTCCGGTGGTTTTGCATGTTTGGCTATCGCCAAGTCCATTATTTCCAACTATCAGCCAGATGCTGAGTTTTTTGGGGAACATTTCCCAACAAAAAGTTGAAACATGGGCGGAATCCACTGAATAACTGGGTGATAGTGGGCAACTGTGTGCAAAACACAATTACCATGGCTTCACCAGGACATGGGAAGCTTGGATCTTGTTCTCCGGTCTCTGCATGTCTTTCCCAAGCCATTGACTGCCGACACTATCAAACAAAAACCCCGCTTTTGGATGGCTAAGCAATCAAAGGGTACATTTGCCACTTGAACAACAACTCCGAACTGAACTAAATCAAATAACTTGAAACGTTTGGCCCCTTTGCAGTCTTCATAGGTTTACTCAAAAGCTTTTCCAAGTTGATTGAAGGAGCTGCGAGTATTTCCGTGGACCAACGGTCGGCTTCCTGCCCCTTAGAGCAGGATGCTTCTTGCTGGTGCGATAGGCAGGGAATGACTTTCCGAGTTTCCGGGTGTTGGGAATGAACCGGATCCGGGGATTCCTGAACAAAGGACACGAAATGGTTTATCTCGGGGTCAGGATTCGAGGATTCGCTAGGCAACCTCGGCCGGATGTTTCCTTTTTGGAAGCCCTTCCATGTCTCATCTGCGTATCGCACCAGGTGTGTTCTAAGTCACCGCCGGCAAAATGTCGGTGGCCTTCGCCATTCCAGAAAGACCCGCTTTCAACATCAGGATTTCTCCAAAAACAAGTACCATCAAAAAAGAAGAGGCACTATGAGCACAAACCACAGTTGGGTTCCAAGCAAACAACGCCCAAGGCAGCAGTCTCTACATGCAATGTGGGGTTCGCTTCCCTCTTCCGCCCCCCCCAGGCAAAAACAACAACAACGCCCAGAGCAGGTGAGATTTTAAACGTGGTTCCCCCCCCGCCCAAAAAAAAGAGAGACCCAAAGCAGATGTGTGTGTGTGTCTTCCCAGATTCGGCAGCAACCAGATTCGGGACACCCCCTCCGCTCGGCTGCGCTTGCGCTGTCGCGCCTCTCCGCATCGATCTCACCGATCAAACAGTCCAGGCGCTGCGTGAAGCTGCCCGACTCGCCTTCCGAGGCTTCCGAGGCTTCCGGGGCCTCCGGAACCCTGCGGAAAGGTCGACCAACAGGTCCCAGCTTGCTTGACGCTGGAAGGGGAGGCAAAAAAAAAAAAATCTGGGCAGTTAGGTGGGGGATGTCAACCACTCAACCACAATAAGCAAAACATGTAAGATGTAAATCCCAACTAACAACTGTGCAAGGGGCGAAGACACAACGACCTGTTGTGGTTCGCTTCGTGGAAAAGCGAGATGTTTTCAACCACTCTAAGGGGCTAAGGTGGCTAAGGTCACAGCAAAAGACAAGCCATGATATGGGTGTGTGTGCTTTTTGAAAGTAATGGTTTTAAGCGCAAAAGGAAAGCCCCATGTGGGTATGTGTCAAAATTAAACCACCAGGGGACCGGAGCTTTAGCCCTTACTCCCATTTACCAGGGTTCAATTTTGGGGGTACCCGATGTTTGACCGGGGGCAACCCAAATTTTGACACATATACTAAAGCGTTCTTAGACCCGGGCGTCAAAAGCTGGTAGCTCGGACGCACCACTCCGGCCATCGGAAAAGGTAAGCAGGACTGATCTTGGCCACACTTCGACTGGACCTCTATAGAATGTTCAATGTTTTAGGGGTTTAATGTGATTAATTGTTTAATTGAAGGGGAGGGAAACCAAATACGGCAACTAAAAACAAAAAGGTAAGAGCCGGGGGGGGGGGGGGAAAGGCAGGTGGGGTGAGGTCAGGAAAAAGCAGGGGCGGGGTTGAAAAAGCATGGGCGGGGTTAAATGTAAGGGGCAGGGGTCGAATTAAAAGAGGGGGGGAATAGGAGGGTCGAGAAAAGGAGTGGGGGGGAGGTGAAAAAAAGGTGAGCCCCTGTGTAACCACAAAATGATACAACTGATACTGTGGATTCACGAAATCCGGCACCACCTAAGAACATCTGGAATGATGAGTCCCCGACGAATGCAAACACACGTCATCGTTTTAACCATGGTTTATTTCGTGGTGCGAAATGGATCTCGCAACCATGCACAGTACTGATGATTGAAGCTTCCCAATCCCCCCTACCACACGAGAAAGGAGGGTGGAGGGTCCCGAATTCCATTTATCTAGTCTTGCCCATAAAGGGAAAATGGAACCGCCTAGGATCGTGGGATTCTGGGGAATGATACCTTCGGTTTTTCTTCCTTTCGCAACCATCCACAGCAGGTTTCTTTCTGGGCTTCCTAAGAGGGGGCCCTGTTTTTGTTGACCCCCAACTTGTTGTTTGGACCCATAAACCAAAACTCCCTCTATTTGGCGGTTTGGATTGGCGGCTTAGTGGTTAAGCAGGGTTTCCCATCTACCCTCTGCAAGAAGCAGGGACCCGTATCCACGACATGTTCAAATCATAGTCATCAAAATAATATAAATCTCATAAATATCCATAAATCACCAAATCCAAACCACCACTCCGGTGTCCCGCTTCCCGAGCCAAAAAACTCCATGCGCCCAACGGCCCGGCGATTTTTCTCGACTTCGCAGATCGCCTTGCATGCGATCCCTGGTCCGAGTGCGCAGCAGCCGGCTGACGCGGGGCGCCAGCGCGCACGCAGAGCCCTCCTGCTGCGCGTGCCACCACTGCTGCACGTCCCCCACGGCTTGCTCCAGGCGCCCAAGCCGCGCATTGATCACCTAGGCTGGAATGCGGACCCCTGCTAAACAAAAACATATGTTCTGCCTGGTTAGAGGAAAACAGGGGACCCTTTTTAAAGCAACAAACAGAAAGAAAGGGGAACTAACTTTGGGGAAGTAGGTGGGACTCAACAATCACCTCAGTGGCCATGGCGTACCCCCAGTGAACATCCCAATCCAACCACTAAATAGACTAAAATGGGTGGTGAATTCACCTACCCCAAAATGGGATCCCATTGGTTTTGACCCACAGCCAAGTGGGACTCAACATGACGTAGTCTGGCGATCGGTGCGAGATACACAGGGAGTGAGAAATGGAATGACTCCTACAAACTGTGCCTTGTGGTTGACGTATTTTGGGAGTGGGCCCAAAAAACGAGCCCACACTTGTTAGCTACCATTAAAATCCTATTCTTGCGATCGGTGCGAGAGATGCAGCGGCCCCAAGACAAACATTCCAACTGGTGGTTTCCTTGAGGCAACCGGGTTCATTCCCACATTCCCTACTTATCGCACCAGCAAGTATTTTCGAAGATGGCCAAAAAAGAGTAACCCAAACTTTGCTGGATTGGTGGTTCGGTTGCTGGGGGGGGGTCCATTGACACTCTACAAGAACCAGGGGTTCAAATCCCCACACCACCAAATCTAAGCCACCAACTAAGGTCCACCTGAACTGAACTGGTCCAAACCCTAAAAGTAGCCTAGGAACTTGGAGAGTGAGGTATTGCGGACCGAAATGCTTGGTGTCCGTTTGGTTTCCCCCGGTAAAACGCGCCAAACGGGGGTCCCCACAAGACAGCACACACACAGCTGGCCTCCTAAAATCACCCCCATCTGCTGGGGGCAAGTAAAGGATCTTTCGTAGCTCCCGGCGCAAAAGTGAACTTGAGAAGCCTTGGCATTACTGCAGCTCTGCTGCATGAAAACACGCGTAATGCCGGTGACTTGGAGAACAGTCAAAAGGAGACAAGGAAGCTATATATGGCCATGAGGTCAAAATCTCGTACCCCAGTGAACATCCCGATCCCCACGGAAAAATAGGTCCTAAAATAGGTAGTGAATTCACCTACTCCAAATGGGATCCCAAAATGGTTTTGACAACCCCAGCCATATATATTCATGAACAAGAAGAACGCCGCAACTGCCGGCAGCCCCTGCCGGGCTCTGGGAAACTTTTGATAGGGATAGAGGACTCGCTGAGCCGCTGCGGACCCCCTCACATCGCTTGGCGCCCTCGAACAAATGTCGAAAGATGGCGCCGAAGCCTAGCCCTCCAAGAAATGGCAAAAGGGGGGCGCAATTTCTGGGTGAATTATAATACTGTGGATGGACGAAATCCTGCTCCCCCTAAGGAGCCCTAGAATGATGGCAGACCTGTAAATACCAACAAGCAAAGGTTTCCCATGGTTTCAAAGTGGTGCAGGATTTTGTCCATGCACAGTATTTCACCAACCTGATATATGGTGGTTGGGGAGCTATTCCCACATAAACCACCATTTGGCGTCAGGTCGTGTGAGGTCGTTATAACTCACCCAGGCGCAATGCTTCGGCCTCGGAAAAATCTCATAAGATATCAGCTCGCCATCCCAAAAACCCCCCCCGAAAGGGGTGGCGGATGGCTCCTGGGGTACTCTCCTGATGCTTCAGCGCTGATTGTGACCCCATATTCATCAACCCCAGTTTATGAATGAGGGGTGCTCCCACCCACCTCCAGTAGAGAGCTTGGAATACGGGTACCCGATTTCTGTCTGTAGTCTATTTTAGTAGGGGCACCCTCCGCCAAGAAAGGGTAAAAGGGCACCTAGCTGGGGGACCCAGAAACAAATAAACTGGGGTCAAAAAGCGTTCGCGTTTCCTAAACTCCTCGCTCGCTTCCTTGCAACAGAAATCCGCCATCGTACACGTCCAAGCAGCAATCTTTTCCGTCCACATGGCAACGTTGCCCAACCAATGGGCCACGTGATCTGCGAAGTGTTACGGGAAAAAAAAACAGCGTCGCTGTTGCAGATGGCAAGTTTTCCGTGAACCAGCCTGGAAAAGCAAAAACAACAACAAAAGAAAATTCACGCCAAACAAAAACGAGCCCTCTGGAGTTTGCAGGTACATGCTCGCAAATCCATGAAACTTCCGCACATCGCATCGAAACCCCTTATCTTCACCCGGCGGGCAAGGCGCACGCAGCTGCTCTGTTAGGTGCTCAGGCTGCAGCTTCTCCTGCAGCTGGCAATGCAGTTCTTTCAGCAGATCCAGTCGCGGCAAGGTCCGGTTTTGCCACAGCTCGGTGACGTTGCTGATGGCGGTCCAGTGTTCGATGAGGTCCTCCTGCGAATCGAAGAGCCGACTGAGCCGAAAACAAAACCGACAAATCAAAGTTGGATTTGATCCTTGCCTTTAGTTGACACTTCACATGTTTCTGCCAAAACAGTGAACGGCCCGCGCGAACCAAACAGCAAGCACAAGCTTCAACACTACAAGCACTGAGTGATGTACACCGTAAACCAAGTGTGAAACTTCACTTTTCACCATACACCAAGTTGAAACTTCACTGTTCACCATACACCAATGTTGAAACTTCACTTTTCACCATAAACCCAGATTTGTTTCTTCACATCACACACCCAAGAACAAAAACAAACAGGTCCTAGACCCAACACCTCCAGTTGTCTGTCTCCTTCATGGAGGCCACCAGCGCCGTACGCTGCTGCGCCTCTTGCAGCTCTTTCTGGGCCTCCAAGAGCCTCACGCACCGACCGTTTTGATAGCTGAAACGACCGACCGCTTTTAGCGTTCACGACCGCTTGGAGGCTTGGACAGAAAAAAGAAGAAACAACAAAAGAAACACAACAGGAAAAAACAAACAAACAACAAAACACAGAACAACCATTTTTGGGCCAAGTTTTGAAGACATGTTTTTAGTGAAAATAGACCATTTTGAGGTGAACGGTAGGTTTCGAAGACATTCTTGCATGGGGCACCTATCAACAAAAAGGGACAACGGGGTGGAAAAGGGAAGCCCCTCCATACCGCCAAGTTGAAACACTTCCTGGTGCGAGAGATGCAGGGCTCGGTCTTGTTTTGAGTCGGTTTGGACATACGGAGAGGGAGCGCGGATATGGGGGGATTCCCTTGGCGCCATTTCCCATAAACTTAGTCAAGGTGCATTTAGATGGAATCCTCCCGTATCCCTGGTTCTCCCTGTATCCCTGCTAGTTGGTTTCCCTGATTCCTTTTTGGCTGGGTTTAGCGGAAAACCAGAAGGAACACCGCCATGTTGGGGTCCCTGAAAAAAAACCACACCCATATGAGCTATCACCAAAATTAGTTTAGGTACAAGCATATCTCTGGGGCTCGAAACAAATTTGTTTCACAGGGTAGCCCCTATTCCACCCGAATACATGTCGACAGTACTCCGCCTAGATATTTGGGTATGGGTCAAAATTGAGCCAGGGACCGCAGGTTTTAGTCCTTGGTTCCATTTACCAGGGCCACTTTGGGCACACATGTTTGACCCACGGCCATCTGATAATATCTTCGGTCCTCAAAAAAAGCAGCCAAAAGAAGCCGACTCTGATTGGCATGGCACCGTCAGTTCCAAGGTGGCTTTGTTGTACATAAAGCAACCCCTTTTAGCCCCTAGCCGTCTAGTAGGTAGATAACCAAGGTTCCCTACCTTTATAGCTTTCAGAGGTTTTAACATTGATGGCTTCTCTGGTTACATACAATGGCGGGAACCCCAGATCTAGGTAGAAGCCCCGGTTGATATTAATTGGGGGGTGTCCCCTTTTAGCGGTGGTTCAGACCACTTTTGTGGATGGCACTTTTGGGACACTCGCAGAAGCCACGAATGGTGGTAAGCGAACCTAGGCCCTGGTGTGAAGCAAAGTTTTTGGTGCTAAGCACCATGGCGTTGAAATATGAGCAGGGTCATATTGCGGCCCAGCATAATCATATTGATAGGAATAGGGCCCTGTTATGAGCTAAAACAGTCCAACCTACTTATGGTCGCAGAGAAATCTCCTTTTCCTTGCTTGCTTGGCACTTAGCCACCGGTGGATATGGTTGGCCTTTAATTGTTTAGGGGTATATAATATACTAAACATATATATATATATATATTCATAATGTACAATGCATGTTGCCTGCATGTTACCATGAATGTATCTTTATGATCAACAAACTGAGCACCCCACGGGGTTGTATGTAGCAATCTACATGTGCGCGCCACATTGAAACAACTGGAGCCTACCCCGGATTTGGCTAAAGCTTGTCCTAACCGAATTGCATCAACACCTCCCAAGAACGATGCCTGACAGGCCGCATGAGTAACATGGCCCATGGCACCTTACCTTACATGTATCTGTATGACAAGGTCTCGAAGAACTTTTACCGCTGGATTCCAAGAGTTGGGGGAGTCTTTTATTGGGGGACCAACACAAATGGTGGTTCTCCAAAGGGTTCCCTGGACAACAGACAAACCCAGTTCACACCCATCCCAAAGTCTCAAGCGCTAGGTTCCGGCTGTGCCAAGATGCGCGCTGATGCGCTCGATGTGCACCAAGAGCACCACGAGGCAAATCACCTGAACGGACAGTCTCACAGTCATCCAAGGTACGCCGTGTCCACAGCCCATGGGTTTTGGGACGCTTTTCACGGCACCCGATTTTGTTACACCCGATTTCAGGTGCTCTTGGTTGACGTTGGAAGGGGAGCAACAATTTGAATAGCAGTTATGTGGTTGGATTTCAACCACCAAACCACAATTTGCGCAAAAATGATTCAAATGCAAATCCCAACAACCACCATGTGCTGACCCTTGCTCAGCACCACTGGCGCACCGAAACTTCGCAGTCTTCGGGTTTTCTCCTGGTGGCCCCGAGCTCGAAACAACTGATTCTTGTGGCGAGCTTGGCTCACTCAGTGGAATTGGTCCTGGAAAAAGCTCAACTGTTGGTTTGCCACTCGCATCTACCAAAAAAGTAAGTCCAGGAGCTCAGGGAAGGGATTTGGTGGTTCGGGGGGGAAGGGAAGGTTGCTTCGTGTCTTGAAACATGCCCCACATCCAGGCTTGGGACGAATATGTCCCCGTAGACTGAAGCCAAGGCGTGGAGCTCGACAGAAGAACTCCCTGGCTTTTAATCCACCTTGGGGCAAAGTTTGAAACGGAACCCTCCATATGCGTTTCTTGCGTTCTCTGAAGTTCAGAGTCTGCTTGCAAGATTTATCCCTGCATCACCAGCATGCCATCTGTCGGAAGCTGGAAACCATCAAACACCGGCTTATTGAAAAAGACAGATGGTTGAACACAATGGGGAATCACCCGTAGAACTATTCCGAGATGTCTGATTTCTCTGGGTTGCAATCAGGAACATGTGGACTTTACTTTTGAGGTTGATCCGGGGAAACCAGAAGGAAACCACCCACTCACTTCCCGAGTGGACTGGCCAAGAAAAGTAGCCACACTTTCTGTTTGCCACTCAAATGGCAACCAAACCCAAAAAGCGTAAAGTCTGAAACGGAACTCAGGACGTGAACCGACAAATCTCAGCTTTATAAGTGGGCTCGAAAGATTTACCCCCTCGTTATACGGGTGTGTGTGTGTGTGTCGTTTTAGGGGAATTTCCACAATGGTGGTATGTTGATAGTCCTTTTGGTTTGCCTGAAACAAAGCCACAAACAACGAGTGCCCGGCAAAAGAACAAAAACAACATACTCATTGCGGAATGGTTGTGAATGGTGAAATCGCCCTGAAAAAAACAAAACCCCTCGTATGGCTGGACATAAGTCACTTGTTTCCCCAAAAAAACACAGGAAACTTGGAGTTTGTCCCCTGATATCGTGGGTGAGCTCCCCCCTGTCAGTCTCAAGACCACAAACGAAGTACCGGATCTTTTGTTGCGGGACCCCCATAGTGGTAGTTGTCCTTCTGGCTTCCCTGCAAAACAACCAACAAAACGCGTACGAAAAAAAACAGAACCACAATCATCCAAATGAATGCCAGGCGCGTAAACCACCAGCGGCGCCATATCCCACACGGCATCAATGGAAGCCCTACGCCAGGTCTTGTCCGGTGAGAGCACCGGAAAGACCGCTGTGATCACCTGGCAAAAAGAAAGCACGGGCTGATTTGTTTGGATGGATTTGACATTTCACGGGGAAAGCTCTCAGAAATGGCTGGTGGCATGTAAGTTTGCCCCAACGGTGAAAGCTCGCGTATTTCCTTTGTGCCTGGGGATGATTAATGGGAGCACTCCGCCATCTTTCACGCAGCTGTACCTACACTAGGTCCTCCAGATTTGAGAGGTTAGAATAAGTTGGTACCCGATTTTTTTCTGTAGTCCATTTTAGTAGGGGAACCCTCCCCCAAAAAAAGTGGGTGAGAAAGGGCACCTAGCTGGGGGACCACTTGTCATACTCTGCCATACTCTGCCACCAGAAACACAAATTGGATCCGACCTGAGCTCGTCACATTCAGATCAGAGAGTCTGAGAGCTTGAGCCCGGGCTAAAAAAATGTACAGAGCTTTGGGCTTGAGCCCCTGGTTTATGGCTCAATCAATCCATTAATCCTCCATTTGCATTTAACCGCCCCCTGGACAAAATGAGAAACTTTGTCCAGTAGTGATATCGATTCCAGTTCAAAGCAACAGGGGGACACATATAAAACACCATTCCTTTCAGCAAATGGAAGCCGTCCATATTGCATGGTAGGACACGAGCCACAGCTCAAAATGGCCAGGTATGATGGCCAATATATTTCAAACTCCGGGCTGGCTCCAGGGAGTGACATCTACAAACGTTGCTTTGATGGGTGAAACAAACCCACATTGGTTGCCGGAAACGACCCCCTCTGCAAAAAAAGCTGGTTGATATCACCACCAGTATCTACCGTTCAGGATTTGCATCTTTTACTGGGAATCGGCAAGGAACCTCAGGGTAAAGCTTCTTTCTGGAGGGTGGAAATGGCACTCATGTTCTTTTGCCATAGGCTGTTCCCAACAAAGCGCTCGAAACCCAAACCTGAAAAACCAAGGCTTCGGTGAAATGCTGAAGGGTCAGGATCATTGACAAACCAAAAATGGCGGGGCCATCCAGCTCGGGCGTATTTCGGGGCAGCCCTTGCTGCCTGTGTGTTCTTGACAGACCTGCTCGCTGCTGAGGCTAGGGCTTGCTCGGGCCAGAAACACATGCACGGCAGGAAGGGCCCACAATGCTAAAAGCAATCTACTTGTTTAGAATCTTTTAGTACTCTTTGCATATCCTGCGGGGGGGGGGGTCCGCAAAAGCCACAGCCAAACCTGAGTCTGCAAACAACGTGCGGAAAAGTGTGCCAGAAATATCAGGGGCTGGGGCGAGGGCCATGCTGTTCCAAATCCATGCGACTCCTTGGGCGCAAACCTTTGGCTTCATTTGGCTTGCTACGGGCTGAACTGGGAAGATAAGTCCAAGTAACATCTAAAGTCAGGCCACACCTGAGTCACAAGCAAAACCCGGTGTTAAAATGGCCTACCCAGAGAACCATGTAAAGAATCAAGCAGGCGGCCGCAACTATTTCTGGCTGGGATTGTCCTTTACTAACGTTCATCTACCCGGGTTTTGATTGTGGCTCACCTCATGCAAGTACCCCGTGCTTCTTTGATTCTTTGCCGGATGAGGTGCGAGTGGCTTTCGTAAACTAATCGTGGGGAGCCAACTGAGCCGACTCCTATCTTGTTTGTCAGCTGTGAGGGAGCCAACCCGCAAAAGTAAACTTGAGACCCCCCTCAACATGTTCGCTTTGAGGTGAAGTGTTTTCCTACAGGCTAAAGGGGAGATCATGTGGACCCCATGAAATCCCGCGACCATACCATTGGACAGATCCCTGGCAAGGAATTTTACCAGGAGCACATGTTGTTTGCTATGTTTTCAAGGCGTTGTTACTTGAGGGCAGTTTTTGGGGGGTTTTGTCCAGCCAAAAAAAACACGCTCAAATCCGAGGGCCTTTTCTTCTGATTCGTGCCCCTTCTTTGTGGCGAACCCAACCTGGAAGGGCTGGCGTTTGGTTGACCGGTACTCTTTTCGGGTACTGGGCTGTTTACAATGGCTCCGATTTTCCAATCCGATGTTCCAAACTCCCGATTTTGCAAAGCCACTAGGGCACCCCTTGCGTAACCCAAGGATTAAGGATTGCCCATTGAACAGTTAAAGGGAAATCAAGACAGCACTACACACGAAAAGCTAAATGGAAATCCATCCCTAGTCCATGCCCATTTGCTTCAATATCCCCCCCCTTTACAGTTAGTGGTGGCCTCTCCCGTCCGCATTTTGCCATCCGGTCATAGGGTCCCCCCCACACTTTTTGGCACATTCTGAATACGCCCACTAAAACAGCCTATTTTCAACATTCAAATTCAATCACCCAACCAATCCAACACCAAAAAACACATATTCACACACCCCTCTTCATTTCTTACCCCATCTCAACATCACCCTTACACTCATTCAATAACAACAATCATAACTACATACCACCTCAACAAATCCCACCAAAAAAACCCAAGCTACATACCAACATTTTTTCATTCCCAAGATCGCAACCCCAAGATCTCAATAATTTCTCCCTTGATCCAACCTGAGACCCTTTCCCATTTCCAACAAATACAAACAGTCTAAAAAAGAACGCTATGTTCGCCCCGAAAAATGGTTAACCAATGGAAAAGGGAGAATTGAAACCGTTAACCCAAATCTTGAAAACAATCCCTTAAATTTTGGGTCTCCATCGCCACGCCCTGTATTGCTACGACCTCTACGTCATCAACCTCACAAGGCGCGCCCCGTGTTTGTCAATCCGTCGGGGTCAGATAAGTTGGACGCTTCAAGGTTGATTTTTGAGTTTTTATCCATAGCAATTCGGAGTTCAAGACATCTGTGGCATTTGTTCACTTGCCTCGTGTGAAGCCATGCCGGTTGAAGTGTCCTTCAAGAAGAAGGCGCAAGGGGGCAGGATGATGCAGGTCACGGTGCTTTCCGTTGAGCACCAGAGTGAGATGAAAGTTCTTGACTTGAAGAAGTCAGTCATTGCAAAGATGAATGAGAGTGAGAACGCCCACAATTTCCGCATTTTCTCTGAGGGTGAGCTGGATGTGAAGAGCGGTGTGACGCTACTCAATGATAGCAACCCAATCGGTGATGGTGAAAAGGTGGATATTATTTTCCAAGATTTGATGTCCCGTCTCACGAGTAGTTTGAACGACTTCGCCAAAACCGACATGGGCAAGAAGGCAGAGGAGGAGTGGCAGAAGATTTTGAAGGACGGCATTCCAGAGTCGCCCCGTGACCAAGGTGCTTCTTCTTCAGGTGTTCAGACTGCAGAGGGTCGCGACGGCATTCCAGAGTCGCCCCGTGACCAAGGTGCTTCTTCTTCAGGTGTTCAGACTGCAGAGGGTCGCGCTGTCGGTCTTCGCAAAATCAGCATTCCAACCATGTATGGTTCTATGGAAGCGGATGCTTTCCTCATCACCTACATCCAGAACAAACCACATGTCACCACCTACAACGGCGTCTATCAGGTTTCCAAGCGCTTTGTTCAGACCCACAATGTCGTCATCTTAAACCAAGATGAGGACGAGGAGCGTGTCCCTTCCGCCGATGAGGACATGGAGGATGAGGTCTTTGTGGCAGAGGTGGAAAATGTCAACCAGTCCATCCCCGAGACCACCACGCAGGTTCCAGATGTCAGTGTTTCAGAGATTGCCCCTTCCACGGCTGAACCAGATGATGAGCCACAGGGTCAGTTTTGGATGCTGAAGTATGTGTTCCCAAACAAAGCGGAGAAGGAGTTTGCAATCAACCCCAACGTGAGCATTGCCGTCCTCAAGGAGATCATCATGAAAGACGCTGGGTTCAAAAAGGAAGATGTGAAGAAGCACACATTCCAAAAGGGCGAGGACATCTTGGCCAACAACCGGCAGAAGGTGAAAACCGCGCTCAAGGACGACGATTTGGTGCTGGTGCGTTCTTCTTTGACTGGAGGAGGACGAGCAGTGAAGAAGGATGCCAAGGATGAGACCTTCAAGAAGTTCTTGCTTGAGGAAAAGAAGAAGGCGATTACGGTGAGTGCTCAGATGATGAACCAGATGACCTTCGGTGATGACATCCAGACCGTCATGAAGGATGTGAAGACAAAGGCGGAGAGCATCTACATGACCACACAGGAGAACCCGAAGTTGACAATGGTGAAGTTGCTACGGGGCATGAGCAGTGATGCCTTGAAGGACTTGGTGAATTACAACACCAACAAGTCTGACCTTCGTGCCACGGGCATCTGCGTCAAGATGATGAGCGCAAACCTTGCCAACTTCGCTAAGATGTCAAAGGACTTTGACAATGCCAAGGAAACGGTGCTTCAGGTGTTCAACATGGTCTTCACTGCCAATTTCTTCAAGAACAACACCTCATGGGATTGGAAGAACTTTGAGAAACTTGTAGAGGTGGAGGTTGGCATCAAGGAGACGGCCCCCACCAGCGCATCGGCGAGTGCTCCTACCCCAGCAGTGGAGACATTGTCGGATACCAACATGGGCTGAAATCCCTTGGTTTTGTCAGTGCGTCAGACACAACCATTTGCTTTGCGCTTGAAAAAGAGAGTGGCAATGTCATTCACTGCAGTTGTCAGCGCATTTCAAGTTTGCCCCCCCCCAATGGGGTTTTTCCTGTCCCCCAATGGGTTTTTTCCTGTCCCCCAATGGGTTTTTTCCTGTCCCCCAATGGGTTTTTTCCTGTCCCCCAATGGGTTTTTTTCTGTCCCCCAATGGGTTTTTTCCTGTCCCCCAATGGGTTTTTTTCCTGTCCCCCAATGGGTTTTATTCTGCCCATCATTAAGTCTTGGGTTTGAAAACATCCGCCACGTCCGCAGGTTGATGACGAGGAGCTCATCTTCGGTCGGGCACCTGCGCGGAACCCCTCGGTCGTTGTTTTGTTTGTTCGGTTTTGTTTTTTCTGGGTGGGTGGTGGGGGATATGTTTGATAGAATATATAAGGGGAAACTCTCGCCATTTTTTTCAAACCTTCAGAATCTCTGACCTCAAGTAGGGGCGGTTCATCCCTTCAACAGAATAATAATCTTGACCAAGTTTTTTTCAACCCTTGAAACCTTGTATTTGAATAATAATCTTGACCAAGTTTTTTTCAACCCTTGAAACCTTGTATTTGACACTGCTCCAGTTGCTCGTTCTTTCTTTCTCGGAAATCCCTTTTTTGCGGTATATTTTGACCTCATCGCCAACCCTAACAGGGGGATATTTACGGGTTTTGATTCTGTTCATCTCAAGCTTCATCTTGACCTCAAGATGGTTTCCCTTTTTGTGGGCATCGTTTGGAGTCATATCGTGGGCAGAATGAACCATTTTACTGTTGTATGTCAGCATGATCTCGGGGATATAATCAACCCATTGTATATTAACCTTTCCCTTTTTCTCGTCTGCATCAACCCTCTTGAAAAGCATGTCCTTGAACGTGCGAATGAAACGCTCGGCGAAATGGGGGTGCCCTCGTGTTTTATAGTTTTGGATCCCTTCGTCCTTGAAAAAATCAACAAGATCTTGGGTGTTCAGGCTTCCCTCGTCATCCGAATAAATTAATTTGGGTTTCCCTCCCATTTTGTTTAATGCCTCCATGATCCCAGCCGTGATGTCGGCAGGTTGCTTGGATGCAATAGGTACCACCACGGCTTTGCGGGAAAATACATCAATAAGCAATAAGCCTATCCTATATTTTTGATTATCTAAATCATTTTTTGATATAAAAAACAGATCCAATTGATATTCAAAGTTGATATCAGGGGCAATAAACGAATTGTATCCAGACAGTTGTTTTTTCCGTTCCACGTTCTCTTGAAACCACTCCTTGACATCTTGCATTGTTATGGATGCATCTTTCTTTTTTGCATCTTTGTAAGTGGTGGCGATGCTACCAAACCCCGCCTGATCGTAGTAGACCTCACTGATTATCTTGTCTTTTTCACTCATATATATATAAATAATACTATAAAATAAATATCAATATGTTATTTTATCACTGAAGCATCTATTACAAGAAGCACAGAAGGCAATGACATTATCCTTTGTATGGGGAAGATCATTACATAACCTTTGACAAGTCAGATTAGAATTTATATTGCCAGAATCCATTGACAACACGAAACCACAGCCACAGTTGGCACACTTGCCATTGACGTTGTCCTTCAACCATTCGGCATCTACATAATTTTCTTTTGGAATACCAAAGCCATTTTTACGATCCTGTTCCTTGTATGCTAACACCTTTCTATCAAAATAATTCATAATGCATTTTGCGTTAAACTCTTCATTTAAATCACTACTGTATTTGTAAAATTTTACTCTGTTTAAATCCCTTGCCCGAGTGATTCCCGTCCAAAGCCACTCGCGAGTTATCAGATGATGGTTCCAATCAAAAATGGTGACATCGTCATCAATGGAACACCCCTGAACAGAATGACAAGTATAACAGAAGGCAAAGATAAAATGACTTCTCAAGATACCAATATGTAATGTAATCTCTTCTCGTGTTTTGATATTAGCAATGGTAATCCAAGGATCGGAAATATTAATTATCTCATACCTAAAATTCACATTTAACTTATAGGTTTTTGTCTTCCTATACTCTCTGCATATCATGATCTCGCCGACTTCAAACTCATTTTGTTTGCCCTGTCGTTTTCTGATCTGCCTTGAAACCTCTCTACAAGTGTTATTTAAATATGCGACATTGCTTTCTGTTCCTGTGATGTCATCAGTATATTTAAAATACTTATTGATGACATCATGTAGAGACAACTCATGCTCAAAGATGTCGGCATAAATGCTTTTAAGTTTATCCTTGTCCTCCTGAGTCTTCAATCGCTTGCACTCTTCCAAAAACAAATGATGAGGAAAAATGCTATCAATACATTCATTCATATAAATCTCGTGTTTCTTAGTGTTAGTCAGTGCTTTTATAGGGCTCAATTGCTTGGCGTCACCAGTAGCTAATATGATTTTACTAGCCCTATGTTGCTCAACGAAGCCCTTGATTTTTGCCAATACAAAGGTATTATTAAAACAAATCTCGTCAAACACAATGACATCAAACATCGAATGATCGTATTTATCTAGCTTCTCGTCATTGACTGCTATACCGAAGAATTTATTTACAGTGACGCTTTCCACTTCGCACTCCAAACCCAGATTATTGGTAGGAACCACGAACAACACTTTATAACCCTTGAGTCTCTCCATGTTCTTGCAGATGGTGGACTTCCCCGCTCCTGCGAATTTAGCCTTAATCATCAAGCACCTATATTTCTCAACAAGTTCAACCAATTCATTTTCATCATACTCATTAATGATGTTAACTCTCTTACTTTTGACAATCGGGATATCAACATATTCACACTTCTTCTGTTCATACAACTGCTTTCCTGTATGATGGATCTCATCGTGAGTCTTGGCTAATTTCCACCCACCGATCCCATCGTGAAAATCTAGCAACTGCTGAGTCTTTCTCAAACCAAACTTATTAAAACCCGAACAGTCCACGACAAAAGCGTCGCATTTGACACTCAATACCTTAACATTGTTCTCTGTCAATTTTTGATATGCGCATTGCATTTTGAAATTATGATACTGCAATAGCATTTCTTTAATAAAACGAAACCCATTGGACAACTCGCACCTATCAACCACATTCAGAATATAATATAAATTGTCGTTTTGTTCAGATACTTCTCTATCACGGCACCACATGCCATTATCATCATATTCCTCAACCCACTTGGCAGTATTCCTGCTCATCATGTTTAACTTCCCCCCTGCATCTGCCTGAAGGCTGATCGCCTCATTGAGATCATTAAAAACGAATGATCTCTGACTGCTGTTCTTACTTTTTTCCAACAAGCCAAAAATCGAGTTGGCTATTATTTTTTTAATTGCCTTGTCTTCTTCAATATTTTCGCTTATTCGCTTTCCCCAGAGTTCCTCAACCAACATTTTATTATCTACCTTGTGGATGAAATGTGGCTGTTTGTAGTGAGTAATGGACAACTCGCCAGATGCAACAAGTGGCATAAAATGCTTAAGAAACATACCATAAACTATATTAGTATCATTATTAAAAAACAGATTGCGATGTGTCAGTTCTGCTTTTACCAAATATATATTTACATCCTTGATCTTACATTTACTATTATAAGCTTTCCAATTATCAAACTGATTAAAACTCCGATTCTGGTAATCGTATTAAATGCATCTGTAAACGCTTTGTTCATGTCGATCTCCTGTTTTGGAACATCCAATTTATCCAAGCCCTTGAATAACTCGCCTTGTGGGACGATGGTTCTATAATTATTTAAAACTTGTATATCGGTAGGACTATAATAAGACTTGTGATTTGGATTGAATAATTTCTTTTTGAATGTAAACATCGCTTCAGTCATATTGTTGTAAACCGTTTCTCTGTCTACTGTGATGTCACTATTGATCTGGTCGTCTATCAGACACTGTGACCTAATGTTTAGATATACATTATTGAAGCCCGCCCTCAATTCTGAAATAGTCCCTGCTTTGTGAACAATCTTGCATTCATACCCGATATTTTTGAAATCGCAAAATAATTTATTTAGATCATTCTCTCTATGAACTAAATCTAAAAAGTTCTTTTCCTGTTTGTCGGTTCTGTTTGCAATTGTTGCCTTAACCATTTCAAAAATGTCATCAATAGTAGAAAACATTTTGCAAATCGATGGCTTCTCTCTATCACTTATATGATAGTCGGGCCGTGCCTTTACTACAAATGCATCATCAGTATTTTGTTTTTGTTCCAATCTTTTAATATTATTATTCAGTGTGTAGATATGATTATTTTTGACCATTGCATAAAAGGCTCTGATGTTGCGGTCAAACATCTCTGGTGAATAAGAATAAATGATTTTGCCCAGTTGGTCTATTATTCTCACACGCATTCTGTATTTTATAAATACCGGGATCATGTCATCAATTGACGCCCCCGACTCTGTGAATTCCTGTTCTGTTTTATTTATTAGTTTTAGTATCATCCCTCGCGACATTGGTTCTTTCTTCTTGTTGTTCATTAGGGTATCTTTATAATAATCAGTGAGTGTATTCAACCAACATTGATTGTCTACATAATTACCTTTCTGGATTGCTTCCATAAATGTTTCTTTCGATGTATCCAATTCGGTATACATGTAAGTATTATACATACTGATGTTTTCCGACCTTCTCAGGTTGGCTTGTCGTGGATTACTAGGCTGTCCACCTTCCACCTTTCTGGCCCTCAAGATCTTCAAGGCGCCAATATACCCCGTCTCTACGTTGTAAGCCACAGCGTTAGTCTTCTTGGTTAACCTCTTCTTCTTGTTGATCTCGATTGTTTTTTTCTGATCAACGCCAACATACCCACCCATAATATTTAGCATTGTTTCAAATTCTGGATCTTGGGCAAGTGTTACAATGAACTTTCTGAATAGATCATAATCCTTGGTTTTTACAATTCGTTTGCCTACATACTC